TAAAAAGGAGGTTAGGTCCTTTCTCTTGTCTACACGAAACATTAAGATTCTCACTCATTTGAGAGTTAATAAATCAAGAAGGAAGATCTTATTGCACCGAATTCTATCACTTTATTTGATTAGTATTAATTGTTTCCATTGTCAAATTATATATTAACAATCAAATGCGTTATTATATTCTAAAATCCTATTACTGTATATCTTAAATTAGTATAAATTAATTATATTTAAAGTTCAACATAAAGCACTCTGATTTAATTTGATCTGTCCAATAAAAGGAAAAATCTTGGAGTCAAAAAGCATTAAAAACCACAGTTAATAAATCCATGCATGTGTTAGTTGGTATCACTAGGCATATTTTTAACAAGCTAAGGAGCATTGTCTCTGATCCTTGTGATGAGCCCTCAAAACACATTCATCTATATATAGCTCATAATTTTTGCAAGCTATATTCATGTAAAATCCTTTCAATATATTACTCACAGAAAAAATCCTTTCAATATAGATTTATTTCCAAGTAGGTTTGACGTGTTCTTTACCCCTTCTTAGCTTCACAACAATTCAATGAAAACAAAAATAATAAAGGCACGAAGAAAAAGAATGACAAAATTTTGTTTTTTTGTTGTTCCTCACTATTTTGTGGTCATCAACTGATTACAGACCATAAAAGATATGGGCTGAAGCCTGAAATACGAATGGAGGTTAGGTTGGGTTATCGTCAAGGACGACACCATGAAGTTTATCATCAGGCCCAGCCCCATGCCGAGTTGGAGCTCCAGCCTCCAGGGTTCATTATTTCATTTCTTTTTCATGTTATGTTCTGGGTAGGTATAGAGGCGAGGACTCGGTGGGTAATCAGTATATATAGTTGACAACTGAGGCAGAGTTTTAGCTAATTGGCAAGCCATTCCATATCCCACGCCAGAACATTCCCCAGAAAAGAGAAACCAGGCTTCAGGAATATCAACATCATAGCTCTAAGGTGATCAGTAGCCAAAATATATAATAATCAAGGTTTTCTCTTCTCCTTGATTGAGTAAAAACCAGAAAGGAGAAGAATATATTTATAGAGGGCAGGCTAAATAACTTTCTAATCTTAAACCAAAAAAGCAATATATATAAAGTTTCTTCATTTCGTGTTTAACTTCCCCGATTGGAAGGCTTTTGCCAAATACTTGTCATTGTCCATTTGAATTGCATAATCTCCCTAGCTGGGAAATTCTTCTTTGGGTTGGATGATGTCAAAGCCAGCTGCCAGCAATTGATGCCGACTCGTAAAAGGCATTCATGGGTCCTTTTTGAAGGTAAATACGCGAGAGTGACAAAATGGACAAAAAGGCATATGGATGTCGAAACTGTATTTGTCTGTATATATCTCTCTGGCCCTTTCGCTTTACCATTAATAGAGGACTTTCCGTTGAGCCATTGCAACACAACTCTTCAACCTTAGTTCATTTCCCCTCAACTTTATTTAGAATGAACAAAGCCACAGCTCCAAGAAACCTAGTTAAAACCCAATATTTTACATTGCCTTTGGACATTGTTTCGCGAACTTGGTGATGATATTAGTTCCATTCATAATGACAACTAAGGTTTTACTGGCTGCTGATACAATATTGATGTCATTTCTCTTGTTTATTTCCACTGTGATATAATTAGTAAACTCAAATAATGTTTGGCTTGTCTCTCATTATATCTATTGCAAATCTAGTGTTGCATTTATATCCATTAATTTGAGTCAATCAATAAAACACCATGAAGAGCCTCCAGTGTACCCATATCTGCACATTCGCAGCAAGGAGTTCCCGCGGGGTCCAAATGGTCTGTTCGAGAAGAAGCATTGCTAGGACAACGGATGGCCTATTGGACATACATCGTTCTGAGTTTAGCACGTTTTCTTCATTTGTCAGACAGATCAATCACATAACTGTGGATCTTTTCTTGGATGTTAATTTTAGCACTTTCATTTTGCTTTTTGGATTTCAAGCATAGCATTGCAAGTTGATCGGGCTTTCTGTGTGGTTGTTTCCAAATAAGATTAATGATTGGTTTGGATCGTTTTCTTTCAAAAAAAATAGTTTATATAAAATCAAGGATAATATCACGTTTAACTTTATAGACTATTATTGTCTAATTTAGTATTTGCATCAAAAAAATATTCAATCTGCACATTCATTCCATCCATCAATACGTTCCAAAATAATGATGTAATCAAGTTGAGCCAAGTCAACTCAGCGTCATGCTCAAGGTCAACTCGATTAAAAAAACTCAAGGCTGAAGTTCGACTAAAAAACTCGGGGATCGAGCTTTACCTTTTTTTTTGTCAAGCTCAGCTCATAAAATAATCAAGCTATTAAAGTTGGACTTGACTTGGACTCAATTTATATAAAAACCTTAGAAACTTGATTCTAGCTCAAGTTCAATATAAAAATTTAAATAAAATTTTAAAATATCTAAATAATTATTATATTATTTTTATATATGTATATCATATTAAAAAATTTAAAAACATGATAAGATTTGTAGGCTGCTTAAATTGAGTATTGCAAAACTCAAACTCAACTTGACTCCTGGCTCAAGTAACTCGAGCTCAAGCTTGAACTCATCTCGACAATGAATGATTTGAATTTAAGTATTTATCAAGTCAATATAAGTAGCTTACTAAGTCTACCCCAATGTCTTTACCTTTCTTTCCTTCTCTCTCTTCTCCTTTCTTTTTCTATCTCCCAATCTTCTTTTTTTAAGTTGAATGAGACTATCAAACAACTAGATACACCATCTATTTACTTACAACTCACATGATGCATTTTAATTAGTCTATTAACATGTTATCAAATTTTTAAAAAAAAAGTTAAACGTTGAGACTCATTGAGAACTAAATAAAATTTTAGATATCATATTAAATATTATTCTAGTATAGTTATCATATTAGACTTTTTTATTTTTTGAACTATAGGAATCAAATATGACATTATATATCCCTAAAATCAATATTACTCATTTCATACAATAAGGTATGTATACAATGCCTTCTGCTCCTTGAAAGACAAGATCTGTTGGACATGCTTTATAGGCATTTATAACTATCTAAATCGAGTTAGGATTTATTCCACCAAGAAGGAAATAAGTAGTAAGAAATTACGAAAATAATTGAGCCTGCTAATCGATGTGTACTTGGATCGATCAATTACTTGGACGCAAGTGTATTGATCGAATTTGTTAAATGTGCAGCTAACAATTCTGATATGACGGGGACTTTAGATTATTTTGATATGATGATTAACTAATCTTCACATGCATATCTTCGTTGAAGTTTGGGAAATGACAAGAAGCGTGCTTAAAACGAAAGGAATTAAAATACAAAATCGGGCAAAAGCTACGGCGCGTACAAGTGGAGACCGTTTAAACGTAACGGCTAGTGGGGTATGCCGTCTCACGTGCAAAGAGCAACCTTAGCTTTTACATATTTAGCTTACTTTTAAGCAAACGTAAAACAGCTTCCCATTACCCTTTTAATTATTACACTTGTTGTCTTTTCTCTTCTCATTCATTTGCTTCACGTCATCAAAACGGCTCAAGCCGCTTCCATACATATGCCCATCCATTCTAGTCAAGCTCTATGCTGCTCGCTCCGGCTTACACTTGCATATGTGCTTACAATGAGAAATTATTCTCTCTCTGAAGAGCTAATTTATATATACATATACCCATTAATAGTGGAAGAGCAAATGCTGATGTAAGTTGTACGTTGTTCAAGAATTGTGTCATATATGATTTCTTTTTTCGTTTCAAATTTTTTTTTTTAAAAGTCAAATGCTGATAGTTAAATTACGTGTAAAATTTTGTTTTTATTGATAATAATATGAATAACGTGAATTATATGACAGAAAAGACGTTTTTATTTAATTGACGAACACTTTATTTTTCAAATAATTTATAATAAGTAGTGGCTGGAAATTTTACAAGACCAGTTCCAAACTATTGGGAAAGAATTTTCACCCGTATTTTGAAATTTTTCTTGTAACTTAAAGAATTTAACTAAAAAATAATATTACTTTTCCATTTGAGAAAGGATATGTAAATAACTAATGCGAAACTCCAATATTGGCATAAAATTAAGATTAAAAGATCAAAGAACTTTAATTAGTTGCAATTTTTAGTACTTATAAGAAGTAAGTTAGATATGGAAACAAAGCATTTTCAAAACATTACAAATAAAAATCTCACTTTAATTAAAAACAGTTAAAATAAAAGATTTGGTATTATTATCTATATTAATCTACCATGCATGTTACATTTAAACTAATAATGTACATTCATGTTTAATGATACACACAATTGTACTTATAACAATTCCTTTTGGCAAAAGTGCAAACTTGAAAACCTTATATAATGATAAGCAAGATACAAATGATAGTTTTTTTTTTTTCATTTCCCACATTCTTTTAAATCTTTATATGCTTACAAGAATTGCTTTGCTTTGCATAAAAAGAAAAAAAAAAAAACTAGTTCCACTATGTCCCATTAGTTTCTGTGGCTTTAGCTAAGGTAGTACATTGGACCTGGCATTGGCAAACTACAGCCGGGCAATAGCACAAAAGAAAATGCAGGGGGCTCACTTTTGGGAATGCAAGGGCTTCACACTTGAAACAGCTGAAGCATACGCGGCTACGAGGCTGAAGCTTGAAACCTTTGGAGTGATGAGATATATAAATAGCAATCAATATAGCAAAAGCGAAAACCCTGTACACGTGAAATTAAAACGCCCGGATAAAAGTTTCCAGCTCAACAAATTCTTTACCCACACAAAATATCCGGGGCAGTTTGTTCATCAAAGCCAAATGAAGAAAGCAAGTTATGTGTGCCATCATCTACTTAAAACCTTCAAAGCTCTCGTGTATATATATGGGAGCTTAATGCAAGAAATAAATATAAGCTCTTTCTTCTGCTCTAAGCTGCCCCATATCCAAGCTAAGAGAAAGAGCTTCACACCAAGAATAATGGCAGACATCCACGATCATGGCTTCTCTGTTTGTTTTGGCCTTCTAGGTACACACTCAACCTGTTTTAATTCCTTTTCAAAACAAGTATGGTACTAGGCTAGTTGCATAAGTGTTTCACCTGGTTTGTTTTACTCTCCTTTTATGCAGGCAATATTTTGTCGTTCCTCGTTTATCTTGCTCCATTGTAGGTTTTCTGCTTTCTCAGGTATTATTAATGCAGTGTTTTTTAGTATTTATTTGTATTTAACAATGTTTCCTTTCTTTTGCTTCCTCCAAGGCCAACTTTCTACAGGATTTTCAAGAAGAAATCAACAGAAGGTTTTCAATCCATACCATATTCAGTAGCACTTTTCAGTGCCATGTTGTTGCTCTACTACGCCTCCCTCAAGAAACATGATGCATTCATGCTCATCACCATCAATTCAATTGGCTGCTGCATTGAATCCATATATCTCTTATTGTACATGGTTTATGCGACCAAAAGCGCCAGGGTAACTCCTTTTTCCTCTCCATTAAACCCTCTCTTTCATTCATCTTCATTACCATAGATCATGTTCTACAGCAACTGGCGTTACAAAGAAGTCTGTTCACTACTTCGCAGGTATACACGACAAAGCTGCTCATATTTTTCAACTTTGGGGCATTAGGATCAATTATACTTCTCACATTCCTATTTTCAAAGGGCTCTATTCGAATTTCCGTTGTGGGGTGGATTTGCGCCGTCTTCTCTGTCTGTGTCTTTGCTGCTCCACTTAGCATCATTGTAAGCGTTACACTAATTAACATCTAACCAAATTAAAAATTAAAAAACAAAAATCATCTGCTTTTCAAATAAAGGTGATTACTCCAAAATAATATGCTCCATATATAATCAAGCAATAACATTTTATTTTATTTTTTTGGTATTTTACTTTATGAACTCCAGAGGTTAGTTATCAAAACGAAGACCGTCGAATATATGCCGTTCCCATTGTCATTCTCCTTGACTCTCTGTGCTGTAACGTGGTTCCTCTACGGCTTTTCATTGAGAGATTACTACATAGCTGTAAGAATCAAACTTCTTTTCAACCCCATTAAACTTCGGACATACTTGTTTAGATATCATCTATCCTTTTTAGCTTATCTATTTTTCATCTCTTAATTTTGTTTCAGACACCAAACATTCTGGGATTCATCTTTGGGATAACTCAGATGATATTATACCTCCTGTATCGCGGCGGACAAAAAGAACTAATCTTGCCAGAGATCAAGGCACAAGAAACCTTGCCAGAGAGCAAGGCAAAAGAGCAAGCTAATGGTGTTCAACTTAGCACAGTAAATCAGCATCAAGAAGCACCTGCCATGAATAATGGAGTTGGAGGGATGATTAGCAGCTCGCAGATTGTGCCAAGTGAAACCAACGTGTGAAAATTGAACTAATTAGATGCATATATCGGTCAGAAATTGAAAATTTCTAGTAGCCACTTGGGCCGGACAGAAATTGATATAGACAAAGAAAAAGAACGGCACCCTCTCTTTCTTAAAAATATTATGCAAACAAGTTTAAATTCCAAGGCTTGTAGTCTAATAATGACAATGGCATAATGATGCTCAACAGTACTGTTGGATTGAAATTTACTTTGATATTTAAGTTTTATATTGAGAATTCTACATCTGTTTGACATGTCAAACTCAATCATTTCTTAATCAATGAGCCAACTGAGTATAATGCTTGAGAATATAGAAATTAAATAATGGGGGGAAAACCGTTTCAATGAGATTATGGATTTTAATTAGTATTTAATCTTTTCCAGCTCAAAAAGTTATACTCCTTTGTCATGCTTACAGAATTTTTGGTTGTAAAGTAAAGATGGGTTAACGTTATAACTATGCAATATTAACAGAAAAAAAGGAGAAGTGAAGTGGAGGGCGGGTGTGTATGATCTTCGTATAACAGAAATCTCTGTCCTTTTGTTTCAACTAGTTAAATGGGGTTCGCTCACATAATTTGATGATACACTTAAATGTGCAAGATTTGTTCCATTCTTCAGATTCTGATTTAACTTGTACAACATTCTTTACTTGTTTTCTTGTAGAAAGAATTCTCATTCTTTGGCAAAGAAAAAGACAGCTAAGTATATTGCAATGTTGAAATCAAAATGACACTGGATTTACCTATGCTAATGATTTGTTTTGTCATTTGTGAAGGTGGAAGCTCGAGGATAGTAAAGCATCAGATGCAAATAAATGAATTAATATAAAAAAATAATAAAGAAACTAAACTAATTATTTTTTATTTATTTGTAATTTATCCTATATCTGCGTCTTTTCTTCATTTCTTTTTTCTATCTTCCATTAATCTATTTCTTAATTTATACCAACAGTCACTTAGTTCCTTTACTACCATGTGAACTTTTATGAATGAATAGGCCATTAGATTAGCTTCCTTAGTTTTATTTATTAGTACATTCTTTATTATTTTGTCTTAGGGTGATTAAGTTAAGTAAGAAACATAGTTAGGAAGTTTAAATTCCAACCAGCTTTATTTTATTTTTCTCATGCATCATCAGCAAGTAGGGCACTCCTTATCATGCATCAAACATTATTAGTGGTTGATAAAGGATGAAGCAAATGATATATTTTCCTTTACATCTTTCTCCTTCTCTTCCACTATACCAAGTATTTTTTATTTATGATGTTGTTAACTTGTATGTTATTTTATTAGTTTTTTTTTTTTTATCCAGATAGAAAGTTAGTAGGAGAAATGTAGGGGAAATATCCCAAGCTATTAACTTTTTCACAAATGGTATTATCTATTGCAACTATTTTTTATTTTCTTTTGATTCCCAAGTTTCTTTAATCATAATATTTTACAGCTTAATGAATGATCATTGACCAGTTGCCAAAAAATGGTGCAAATAATCAACCACCAAATATTTGATAATATATCTCTACATCAGATTTGTAAAGTTAGTAACTTGCAAGCACTTCAAGATTTTTTACAATATTGAGGTTATAATTTTTAATATGATTTAATATTTATGATTGGTGAAATCATTTTTATTTCTTTAAGATGGTGGAAGTCAATGTTCCTCAACTTCTCTATGAAGAATAAAAGCACCACTTCGAAAAGCCTCATATATCTAACAATTAAGGTATAAATTCAAGTGTAATAAGTTATTATCTTTATTTTTGTTAATTGCTTAAGAATTAAAATCTTGTAATGTGGGGAATTGATTTGATGGTAGTGTCTTCAATAATATTTATGACCAAATTATTTGTGATACATCTTTATTGAGTTCTCATCATATGGAACAACGTATGGTTCACTTATCATATCAATTTCTACCATCAATCATGTTCTACATTTAACTAAGCTAAATTTTTTTGGAGTTTCTAGTAGTTCATGTGTCAATTTTTCATTCTTGATTAATCCAAATTGCCTAGAACATGGTAGTATCATGAAATTTATTCGAGTTTCTTTCTTAGGATCCTCACTGTCATCTCCATCAAGATTTCTAAGAGCTAAGATTGCTGCAGAAGAAGCTGTTTTAAGAGAACTTTCAAAGGTAATTACTCTTTGTTTTCTATAACTTGAGATTCTAATGCTAGCTATATTATTAATTTATTATAATATAAATAGTGTGAATTTGTATATTAATAGCCATGAAATAGTGTTATATAATAAAGTAACATTGAGCACAAATGGGTTTTTTTTTTCTGTTTTTTGGTTTATTTTCTTATTTGAGGTGTAATTACATATAAACAAAATCAAGTTGGAAGGAGATAGAAATGGTTTGTTTTATATAGCTTTCTAAGCAAGGATAGGCATTCTTAGGATCACACCATCACCAACCCTCATGCTCTTTCTCAAATCATAGTTTCTAAGCAAAAGTTAGCATCTAAAAGATAAATCTAGATTTTAATATCACTTTATATCTTTGCATTTGGGATTCAAATATATAGAAAAATAAAGTCTGGACTGCATTTGTGATTAAAGAAGCTAGCTTGATAATGATGATTGCCACTAGTCTCTTCTTAATTGTTAACTTATATTTGTCAACTATGATATTGGATTTTTGAAATGTCTTGTAATCAATATACTTAGTTTCTTTTAAACACCCAACTAAACTAAAAGCGTTCAAAAAATGATTAATATTGTAACTTACAGGGTATTAAGTACTGCCTCTTGTGCAATATATTCTTATCCACTTGGCAGCAAACTATTTTGGGATTCTGACTAGTGATGTTTGTCCGATCTCCTCTCTTGCTCCTCTTCAGCTTCTTACTTTGTGTTTGTTCAGGATTTGATTTCTGTTTCTTTTTACTGGATGTTTTGTTTTGTTTCTTCATTTGTTTTTGGTTTTCTTTAAGCCCTATTCATGTATCTTGGGACTGAGCCTTGTACTATCTAGATATTCTCTTTGTTTCTAAGTTTTGTTCTTTATTTCTTTATCAATTACTTTGACTCTGTTTTCTATTCAATATATATATGTTCTATAAGAATGCCATTTAAAAAAAATATATATTTGATATAAATTTTTGTAAGATTTGCATGGCTTATACTCTTTAGATTGCTGTAAAATTTGCAATTTTTTGTTACATATTAGCAAGTCATATGTGTTACTATCATATACTTTTAAGCTACATATTTTAAATATTGTTATATAATTTAAGATTGGAGCCACCTAGTATATGACTGCATATTAATTTTACAGTGAAATTTCATTGATTCAGATTATACTTTTTCTAAATGCAACCTTAAACTTAAGGCAGCATATTTTTCTCTGACGACTTAAATTTTTACTACAGTAAAAGTGAAAAACTGTTTTAGTGTCAGACATGACAAGCATTTAGAATTATGGAGTTCAAAGCTTTCTTGTTGTCCACACCAAGCTTAAATTGGAAAAAGTAAACGTTTCAAAACAAAAAAAAAAAATAAATTAAATTTCCATATGTATACGTGCTAATTTACAACATGAAAATACTTGGTTATAGGCTTCAATTTATTAACTAAATTACAATATATGAAAATAATAAATCTAATTACTTATTGTTATACACAAGTTAGTAAAACAAATAACAACACTAAGAATCAGGTTCAACGCATTCTGACAAAAAAAAAAGAAGATAAAACGTCTATCGTACTTGCTATAAACTTTAGAAGAACATCCTAGCTAGAAGAAAATATATGATCAACTGATCTTAAAGATTTTTTTTATTGTAGTTTTTCTTGTAATTAGTCCTTCATTTTCTTTTTTTTTTTTCTTTTTATTTGAATTATCGTAATCCCAAACTCATGAATTAATCGTATATATTGTCCCTTGATTAATATGTTACGATCCAATTTTAAAATTGTCTGTCACATATATTATATTTTGTCCCGATTTGTACATTAGACAAGAAAAAGATCTAAAGAAAGGACAGATAATTTTTATTCGAATTTAAATATCTCAAAATTAATTATCTTTTCTAGATAAAAAAAGAATTTAGGCGAGTGAAAAAGAGAGGAAGCACTATATTTTACCAAATCCTACATTAAAAATTAAAAAAGATAAAGAAAAAAGGGATAAGATCCAATCCAATCTCCACACCAAATTTAAAACAATTTCAAAAACACAAATCTATCACACATAAAACAAACTTTAAAAAAAAAGAATTAATGAAAAATATACTCAACCAATCAAACACGTGGCATATATGTCGGTAGTTGGGGCAAGGAGACGGGGCTCGATTCGGGTCGGACGATCTTATTGCTTCCCAAAACACTTCCCCTCTGTGGAAAAAATTAGGGTTTTCATTGAATAATCTCGGACAATTTAAATTTCAGCAAAATTTTAGTTTTTCACTCTTGTTTTTCTGACAATGAAGAATCGGAAGCCGAACGAAAAAGGAAACGGCGACAGTATTGAGATGGAGGGCCCGAAACGGATAACTATGAAGAAGAAGAAGAACATGAATCGATTGGGAGGAACTGGTCTTTCGCTTCAAGCATTCGCCAATGCCAAATCCACCACCAATCACTACAATCCGGCCTTAATTAGTATAAATTTCCTTCTTGTCTTTGTTTGGGGTTTTGATTGTTGACATGTGGATAATTTTTTTTGGGCCTGATATTTCTTCTGTTTATTTATTTCTATTTTAATCTTGTTTATTGGCAATTGTTTTTCCTCAGAAAAGAAAAGGGCGTTCTATAAGAATGCTAAATATGTTAACAAGTATAAAAAGTCACTAAAGCAACAAAGTCAGGGGAATGATCTTCCTTCAGCAGTAAAACCCCCAGAGGTTTGTTACCATCTAACTCTTTTTAGATTATAATTAGCTTGCTTTATTTTTTTTTTTCTGTTTAAATTATAAGAGGAACAGTCTGGCTCTTAATTGGGTTGAGACCTAATTTGTTAACAATTACCTGCATTAAGCTCGAACTGTTAATGGTGTTCATTAGATGAATGACTAAGCTTTTAACTTTCTCGTTGAAGTATTGTTGGATGGCAAGCACATAGGATTTGTGAATTTGGAGCAATCTGGTACATGATATTGAGTACCAAAATTGAAATTACTCTTTGAATGATTCTTTCAAAAGTGATTCATTTTCTATGAAACGCTTGATGATTCGTTCAGCTGAAAGGACAGATGATTCTGTTGGAAACATTTAATCCCAATTTTATATCAAAACCTTGCACGCATCTAGACACAATCTTTGATGCATATGTACTTTTAGAACATTCTGAGTCTAATAATGCAAAGGTTGTTACAGGATGAGAATGAAGACATGGATGATAGTAATAGGACCAACAAAAAGAACAAGAAGAAGAATAGTTCGCACAGTTTGAGAGAATTGTATGAGAAGCAGCGGGAGGAGAAAGAGAAGGCAAGGATGGAGAGGGAGGCAATTGTTCAAGCAAAGAAGGAGCAAAAAGAGAAGGCTGAAGCTCAGAGGAAGGCAGGAAAGAAGCAGATGTTCAAAAAGACACGACATGGTCAACCTGTAATGAAATACAGAATACAGCACCTTTTGCAGTCCATACAAAGTTCATCTAGCGCGTCAGTTAATAAAAATTAGTAATCTAGAATCTGTTGTTTCTTGGTTTTATACTTTATTAGTGCAAACAGTAGTTGATTGAGAGAACATAGTGGTGAAACAGGGGGATTTCAGCAATGTGGTGTTAATTGCCCTTCATGCTGCTGTAGAATTTTTGGATGGCTTTTTTCTGTTTTTGAAAATTAAGGAAGATCATTTCATTATAAGGAACTATTACTTACAAAATAAGACAGTGATCAACTGATGATCCTTCAGTCAATTACTGTCCTAGGATGGCTTACAAAAAGACAGCCATGCTACAACCTGTTAAACCACTCAAAGCACATAAATCCACATCCCTGCTATCAGACTCATAACATGAAGAGAAATCGCAACAGGTTAAACAGCAGACTCAGTAAACCAAAGACACCACAATAATAGAACAAGTATGAGTAAGAAACATGACCTGTGGCCTGTTTCCTCTTCTTACTTCTCCTGGAAACGTTCAAGGGTGGAGCTCCTCTTGACCTCCCATTTTCATGTCGCCGTGGCGTTATGAAGTTAACGATAAATGCACAATAAATCATTGGATCTACCCACACCTAACTTGGCCAGATTATCAGCTTTATCATTTCCTGACGGCGGGATATATCTAATCTGCCAGCCAAGCGCTCTTTCCCGAAGGGCTTTAATATGCAAGATCAATTGCCTCAAATTTGAGGGTGATGAATCCGGTTTGTCCATCCAAGTAACAGCGTTTTTGGAGTCACATTCGATGTTAGCGCAGCCTGAAGGCACCCATGTAGAAGGTACAAAGATCACTAATGCCTCTCGTATAGCCAAAATTTCAGCTAAGTTCACGTCCCCACACCCCGCCCTTATGGGAAAAGATTGCTTTATCTGCCCCCTTGTCATCTCTCTAAATCCCCCAATTCCTACGTATCTCGGGCATCCTCTAGAAGCCCATCCGTGTTAAACTTGAACCACCCTACTGGCGGACATTCCCATTTCACCAAAATGGGTTTTCACAGCTAATCTAAAACCAACATTTGGTTTTTCGATATGAAGTATGAAACGGAAGCAGTTTGTCTGCATTTTTATCGCTGATGTTAATTTATCATTCCCTATAATGCAGTTCCAGTTTTATTTGTAATATTGCTAGGAAATTTACTCAATTTTCAAAGTCAGAACTGGTAATCTTTCTGTTCACATTGAAGAAACTTTGAAATTATGCAACTGTGTTGCACGAATTTTTGCAACCCGAAACTTGGAATTAAGATTGCAGAGTCCATTTTCATGGTCTTCATCCACAGGAAACCTCCCTGGTTTATCTGTATCACTACAAGAATCTAAACGGAAAGGATGGCAAACCCTATATCACTATCATAATCTGAACATACCACAAGATTAAGGTGAACATAACTCATCTAAAGGTATACCAGGCTGAGTTCTGGTAACATTTATGAAGACAACCTCCCCCAAATAAACAAGAAAATAAAATTCCCTGATACAGCTAACTTGGAAGCGAAGCGACTGACCAGGAACCTTCCTGTCCAGTCCAATATCATCAAGAACCTTCTCAGGCTATACGCCTTGCCACAAGTACAGCTCGCCGGGGACGTGGTGGGATGCAGATGGCCATGAGGGTGATAGCAATAACCAGCGCCATTAGAAATCGCATAAGATCCAAACCGTTGCCTTCGTTTAATTCGGAGCAGATAACTTTCCCCATCTTCAATAGGATGAGCAACGATTTCCCGTTTTCTGTCCCACAAGAAGCTTGGAATTGAGCCTTGGGAGAAAGGAATGCACATTCCATACATGTTTATGGTTCTTATATCGCTTGGACTTGAAGTCAACTAGGAAATGGAAAATCTTATTCTAACTGCGTTTCTATTGGTTTGATGTAAACTCCTGGGAAACCTTTCAAAAAAGGTTAGCTGATAAATGTGGACTTTCCATGACTACACGATAATGAACAGAGAGAAGCCAATGGCTTCCTCTTATGTTCAAAGGACTGCTCTGGAAAAGTAAGACAGTGAAAGCGTCAAACCGACGCACATAGCCAGATAAAGACCAGCCTTGGCATTAAATCAGAGTCCTAATCAGTGGATTTTGACTTCAAGTTTAGTCTTCTTTAATAATAATTTTTGTTAATTAAATTCCTAGCTACCATAATGTACTGGCATCTTTCAAGTTAATCAGTTTATTTGGCGCTAACATCTCAACATCAAGAAAAACTTGTGGCTTAAAGTAACCTTGGCTCCTTTCATCCTATTTAGTGAATGGTGGGGAGGTAAAGAGAGAGGAGGAAGGGGGAATCTAAATCCTACACTACTTATGAAAAAGCCTTCGGTTTCTGTTTCTCCACTGTGAAGAATCTGGAAAGTCAAAGAACCGAAGAACAAAAATTTGAGAATTATTTATAATCATTAGAAAAATGAAAAGATCTAACTATTTATAATCCCGGTTTGTCTATAATACAAAAAAAAATATAAGGTTAAAAACGTAAAAGAACACTAAAGTGACTTATTTACAATAAATAAAATAAGTTTATATTCTTCACTCCCCCTCAAGATGAGTATTATGAATATTAAGAATACTCATTTTGCGCAAAAGTGAATGCAATGGTCTAGGTTGAAGTGCTTTGGTGAAGAGGTCTGCAAGTTGAGACTTTGTTGAAATATATGATGGATCAATTATACCAACAGCTACCTTTTCTCGTATAAAATGATAGTCCATCTCAATATTTTTAGTGCGCTCATGAAATATGGGATTCCGACAAATATGAAGGGCTGATTGATTATCACAAAACAGCTTTACTGCACACGAATGTTCAATATTGAAATTCTTAAGTAAATGTAATAACCAAATCACTTCACAACAGGTTGCTACCATTGCTCAATATTCAGCTTCAGTGGAACTCCTTGCTACTACACTTTGCTTTTTAGCTTTCCAACTTATCAATGAATTTCCCAGCAAGACACCATAACTCGTCACTGATCTTCTAGTGACTAGGCAGCCAGCCTAATCACTATTGTTATATGCTTGTAAACATATATCAGAATCACTGGAAAATAAAATACCTTGACCAAGAGTTGTTTTAAGATATCGTAATACTCTAAAAGTTGTTTGTAAATGAGCTTCACTTGGCTTGTCCATATATTGAGAGTATGTGAACAACATATGAAATATCTAGTCTTGTAAATGCAAGGTATAAGAGTCTTCTAGCCAACTATCTATACACAGTACTGTCTTTCAACTGTTCTTCATCTACAGCCTTGGTCATCTTATGATGATATTCAATTGGTGTAGTCACTTAGGTTAGACCCCAATAAACCATATTCTACTAAAATGTCAAGAGTATATTTCCTTTGACAAAGAAAAATTCCCTTGCTTGATCTTGCGACCTCTAATCCAAAAAAATACTTGAGTTTTCCTAAGTCCTTAAGCTTGAAATTAAAACTCAAGTAATCTTTAACTTCATTAGTGAGATCCTTTTGAGGTGCTGCCAATCACAATATCGCCTACATAAACCAATAAAGCAATGAATTCCCTAGCTTGAGTGTTTTTAGTAAACAAAGAATAGTCAGCTTTAAACTGTTGAAAACCATATCCTAGTAAACAAGTGATAAACTTCGAATTCCACTACCACAATGCTTGTTTAAGTCCATACAATGACTTATTCAACTTACATACTATCTTACCACTTGTAAAACACTCCCCCTGGAAATGATACCCTTATGGCAGCTCCATAAAGACAGTCTCATTCAAATCCCCATTCAAGAAAGCATTATTAATATCAAGCTAAGTAAGAAACCAACCTTTAATGGCTGCCAATGCTAAAACAATCGAACAGTGGTATGTTTCACCACGGGACTGAATTTTTCTTGATAATCAAATCCTGCCCTCTGATTATAACCCTTGGCTACCAATCATGCTTTGTATCTTTCAACAGAACCATCAACATGTAACTTGACTTTGTAGATCCATTTACACCCAATGGCATGAAAATTAGAAGGTAAAGGCATCACTGTCCATGTCTCATTCGCCTTTAAAGCATCTAATTTAGATTTCATAGCCTCCCTCCGTTGAACATGTTTTACAACTTGATGATAATAGGTGGGTTCAGGTATATGAGACAAGGTCACTGCAAAAACTTTATGAGTAGGTGAAAGTTGATTACTAAATAAGAATTTTGTGATGGGATATTTGGTAACAAGATTGGCTTGTGTAGGAAAAGTACAATGATAAACTTTAAGGTATTTTGGTGGGTGCCTTTGTCTAGTACTTTTTCTAAGGTTAAAAGGAGAATTAAAAGATTGTGGTTCTTTAATAGGTAAAACTGTAGGTGCACTCAAATCGGGCAGGTCAGTACTAGAAATAGAATCAGAATTATCAACAACAAGAGCAAGAGAATTATTAACAATAGGACTATCAGCATTATTAACAGAATCTTGTGGAATAGTACGATCAACAGAAAATGTATCTTGAACAACTAGAGGGTGAATAGATGAATGATCAACATGGAAAGAAAGAAATTCCAAATCAGATTGTGAGGCTGATTGATGCTACTGAAAAGGAAATATTGATTCATGAAATATAACATTCCTAGAAATAAAGACATTGTGTAACTAGATCATAAAGCTTGTAACCTTTACTACCTAATGGATACCCTAGAAAAATGCATTTTCTAGCCCTAAGTTCAAATTTCTTTCTATTATGTGATAAAGTTCAACTAAAACATAAAGAACCAAAAACTCTAAGATGTGCATACGAAGGTGGATTATGGAAAAGCTTTTGAAATGGTGTTTGATTGTGTAAAACTGGTGTGGGTACCATAATTATGATATGGGTAGCAACTAAAAAAGCATCCCCTAAAATTTTAAAGGTAAACTAGCTTGAAACAAAAGTGATCTAGCTACAACTAACAGATGCTGATGTTTTCTTTCAACAATGTCATTTTGTTGGGGGGTATCAACACAAGAAAGTTGGAGTACAATTCCTTAGAACTAAAAAAATCAGTAAGATTAAACTCAGAACCATTATTTGAACTTTTTTATTTAATAGAGACATTGATTTGATTTAAAATCAAATTATAAAATACAAGTAAAATCATGGAAACTTCTGATTTATATTTTATTAAAAAAATCCATATAAACTTGGTATAGTCATCAACAGTAGTAAGGAAGAATCTATGTCCTGAAATTATAGACACTTCATATGG